AATCACCAAAGGATGGGTACCACAGAACTCAAAAAAGGGCCACCGCTATCGTCATAAGTGCAGAACCCTAGCTAACCTGTAATTATAGAGCCAGTGCTGGAACGCATAAACATATGATGAACTGAGCGTTCAAATGCCCCATCTGCCGACGTAAAGCCGACACGCTGGTTTCTCGTCAGTTAGATTACTCCCCGACGGCAACGCATACAAGATCATTTGTCATTCGCGAAATTGACGGATCAAACAACCAATTCACTCGCACGTAGAAAATCAAAGTTGGAGCGGAATTACATTGGTGAAGGAGGGATTTACTTAACTTGAAGCCAAAATATTACTTTTTTATCTATTCTCCTCTTTGTTTTATTCGAATAAAACCGACGGCACTTTTGAATGGGATGACCTAATAGGACAGACCCGATAAATGATAGCTGATGCGAAAGAAAACAACATTCCTAAGCTATAAACATTTCAATGCTTGCTACGACGGTTTCAACAAAAGTCCTAGTTTCTTCAGCGACACAATGAGAGTACAAGCACCTAAGTAATAAGAATATAATAGAGTAAGAAGAAACAGAAAATGGAGGAAGCTCCCAGTTCTTTATAGAAAAACTTGTGAATGCCTTGGGACGATGTCATTGATTCAAGTGTTACCCAAGTAAGCATACAAACAAGCACTGAAGGAGGTGCCTGCTAATCACCGCACTTGAATGCTTATTAGGGAGATCATTAATCAGGTGTGATGGTGATAAGAGAGAGATTAAAAACAATCAAAAATATCAAGGATCATATTACACGGATTAACCTACGTGTAGGCGAGGAGAGGATCAGTGAAAGAGTTTCCGACGCAAAAACACTTAACGCTCAAATGTTCATAAAATGTCGAAACTAATGATTTTAAGGAGGCATTCTATGCTGAATAACTTGAATATTTCATGAGCATTCTCATTATATGTACTTTCTGCCCATTTAAACTGCTATACTTCAAGTTATATGCATGTGCGTTCCAGCTCTATCCTTGAGTTTAGAGTGTTCTCCATTTTTAAATTATCAAGGGATCTAATATTCCTCCTTTTTCTTGCGTTTATTATTATTTTTGCCTGCTGCTTTCCGTGCTATACTTGGCTTTTGTATCTGTCCACGAGAGGTCAGGAGTCAGCGTGGGAGCAATTAAGTGAGGCTACCCCACAGGCGAGTCTGTCAAAGGGTGAGAAAGATGAGAGTGAGATTCTTCTAAGAAAGTCCCACACCCCGAACTTGGTTATGCGAAGTAGGCTTCTCAGCTGGTAGTCGAAACTCTTCTACAAACCAGAGCGGACGAAAGTCCTCCAAAATGGTTGATAATTTTTCAGTCATAAGGCCATAGACTCATTTCTTAGAGCCCAACACATCTTTGAACCTTCATACGGAAATCTAAGAGAATGCTGCGGTTCCGAGATGCTCGTTCTTGTAGAGATCTTCATGTGAGTTTGCAAACTGTTCGTATTAGAAGGCCTTGGGGTCGGTACGGATCGGTACAGCTTTCCGGCGAAAATCCATATTTTAGCGTGATGAACTCGGCAGCACTAGCTAATAATAACGCGTCACTCGAGAAATTAGGAGGTATTATTCAGTGTCATGTCCAATCACTCCTTAGTAAACATAGAAAAACCATTGGTATTAATTGTTAGTAGAAAACAATCAAACAACAATAAAACTCGTAAGTTTTATTCAATTCTATCTATGGAACGTAGAAAATCAAGGCACAAAATTCTGTAATCATGCATATCATCATTCTGAGCACTACCTTGGTCAACACCGTCCAGGCAAAACAAGTGAGACTTGAACACGCACGAAACAAAAGACATACCATAAAAAGCTGAACTGAGAAAAACTCGGCAATTCGGGCAGCCATTCCGAGCTCCGCTCAGAGACCTGCTCTCTTGCCGTCATCCTTATTCAGTCTTCGCCGACGCCCGCGTTAAATACGTTTCAGTCATCCATTAAACACTCACACTCATTACAGAGTCGATAAGTTTCACTTTTGAGCACAAAAAGAAAGCAACCGTATCGTGGAAAAGGGGGACGAACGTAAAGTTGCCCCTCTTAAGTGAGGAAATGCATAATTGACGAGGAAATGATATGCGAAATGCGATACAGATCATATAATAATCACTATCGAAACGTCAGCGATCGCTGAAGGATCGGCTAAAATAGGTGTGGCATTGGCTCGTAGCCAAAGGATTCGACTAGCGATCGGCGACGATACAGTATATTACATACAACACAACAATTCCATGCTGATTGATCAACCATGCTTGTATACTTACAGTAAAAGTTGCCACAGCACAAACGCGACAACACCGACAAACATACCCTGCGCAGAAGGTGTTGTACTGCTTGAATGTCCTCTCGTTGGAGCTGGACTGAACGAATCACCCGTCTGCCAGCAATCCGGACATGTCTCCGGTAACGACCGCGTTTGTTTTGATGAGTAGGAGGATTTCAACTAAAACAATCTATCTCAGTAGTAAAATAGAGAGCCGGTGGTACACTATAGTCTGGGTGCTGCACCGTAATCTACAGTATGCCTCCAAGAAGTTGAAATGATGGCTACGCTCAGAAGGTTACTGCATGCCGTACAGGGTACGGCTCAGGTACCATCTAGCTAAACTTCAGTGAAGCAACGGACTTTCTTCCAGCTTTATTGAAACATGTAAAGTAGTATAGTCCTTGTTACAATTTCAATAGCGGTATCTGGACTGAAATTACCTGTTCCTCAGGGTTGTAGTAGTCGAAAAGCACCAGTTGGGCTGGTTTTTGATCAGCGACGTAGTACGTCATATCGGAGAACAGCTGCATTAAGCACACGTGAAGTTCCAAGCTGAAAGTGAAACCTCACAATCATGTCCTCAGAAGAAGCTGAAGAAGAAGGGCTCCGGGTGTAAATTCTAAACTGTAGTTCGCTGCGGACGGTTGGGCGTGTCAGCAATGATGCGGTGTTGCACCTCATTCAAAACCGTCCCTGCCTTCTTGTTTGAGACTGCGACGCCTCCTCGACGGGTTCCTGTTGAGAGAAAAAGGGCAGAAACGAGTAATACGAAGGATGTGATACAGTATTGTCACTTGCCCGCTTCAACAACTGGTGGAGAACGAGAGAATGTTTGGGCATGTCACTGCGCCAAACCAGTCGCAATGACATGCCCAACCGTCCACAGCGAATTACACCATATCTCCAGTTCAACCGTTCACACCTCTCTTTCACATGTGAGCTTTTTCTGACACTAAACCTCTCTCTAAAGGCGCATTTCCGGAATTACAACTGGCCAGTCATATAGCAGGTTCCCGATGCAATCGCTGTTTACAAAGCAAAAAAATTTGTCGAAGACGCCCCAGGTAAGGTCTCAGGACTAGACGAGTACCTGATGAAGCGAGACACTGCTACACCGGTGAAAGACCAGAGAAGAAGGATAAGAGGAAAAAAGACGAAGCCTGAAGGACGTGCCGAGGCACTAAGGTTGGTCCTAGACAGCTCACACACCGTTCGCAAGTGTATTTAAACAAAAAATATAGGACCGGTACAAATCTTGTACCAAGTTGAATGTGGCAACTTCCATTGGGTGGCACGGGGCGCTTCTTCATTGCATGATGACCGCAGCGCTCAACCCACCCTCGTGTGATGTGTGGCGAAGCGCTGCGGTCAACATGAAATGAAGAAGCGTCTGAAGCCAAAAATGTGACACCTCAGGGATAGGGGATGGGACAACGTGCATTTATTACCAGGTAATCACGCAGCGTCTGAAGGCACGACCCACGCTTGGAAGCGTCACTATTGAGTCCCGACCAGCTGATTAATGAATTTCTGAAAATCAGCTGACAGGCTCTCTCGTCTACCCCCCACACCCGCCCTCGATGACATGTAGCTAGCTTCTCTCATGCTACCGTCCGCTTGTATCATTTCTTGTCTGGCAAGGTGCTCTGAGTCTGGAACGGCTTAGTGCACCATCCAGTAAGAGGTATTCCTTGGCGCAACACTACAATCTAAAATTTGTGCACCTTACCAATCTCCCGCCAAGCGGAAAATGTAAAAGTTTGTCCACTGCGGACCAAATTACCTCTCCCAAACGAAGTGGGATTCTATCTTTCGCAGTTCTCAGTGCAAGACCATTTGATTATCGTGGATCTATTTAATTTCGCCGAAGCGGTTAGGTTCACATCGAAAGCGTTGTCTTTGCTTGTATGTTCGCAATACTTTTCGATGAGAGGCAGCTTCTTAGCGCGCTCCAGTCTTTTTCGGAATCGCAAAATTCTAGCAGTTTTTCGAGCTTGGAGTAGTTACGTGTTACGAAGCAGCTGGAGCATGGCTCACTCTGTTCAATCTTGTTCGCACAAAAGAAAAAAGCTCTGGATTTCCAGAAGTTTTACCGGATTGAAATAGATATTCATTTTGTGTCGTCATGATCAAGTTCAACTCGTTGAAGATCCAGCAAATTCACGTTAACTGGACCCATTTCTTCGTCGTTCGAATCTAAACGATGAGCGATAAAAAGATTGTTGCGCGCACAATGAATAGGTGCACGACTCACTTTGAATCCTTGCGTGAGAGTTCCAGGCGATCTATGCTCGCAGGCTCCCTCCGCGAAAAATAGTGCGTTTGTGGGCCTCTGCGAGTGCTGCAATGGGTTGTGTGGGTTGTTTCCTGCTGTACTTGTCGTGGTTAAGTTCTCTCTCTTATGTCAGATAGGAAAAGTATTGTGGAGTGTGGTAAAACTCATGTGCTGGGAATATGCGTCGTCTAAGTGTGCGTCCTGTGTTATCCGCTGTAGGCACAATGAACAGACTGTTCACTTGACTGACATTAGAAAGCATCAACAATGTTCTAAAAAAGGCTCCACCCCGATACCCTAGTTGTTCTTGAGGCCAGTCTAGTGGATTATAAAGAAACATCTTTTACGGTATCATTCGACTCTAGATTCGTCGCCATGTTACCGCCTTTATTAGCTCTTACTGATCTGACACTTGCCTTACTTCGACCTTTCAAGATTGTTTTTGTATAGTAACAGCTGAGTTCCAATCTAAGAGAGAGCAGTTCAAGGGGACTACTGGTCCGCCCGCGCTGATTGGTACATACTCCTACCACGCTACATGAGTACGACGTTAAGTTGTTCAAGAAATCGTACTTGCAACACAAGTCAAGCTGCATTCTATTGCCACCACGCAGTTCTTTGAGATCTTTCGAGCAGAAGAACGGCGAATCATCTCGAACGGTATTTCGATAGTACGAATAGGAGACCTAAAATTTGAATGTTGCAGGCCATCTCATGTCAAATATTTTGCAGGTGTAGCACGAACCTGAGCGAAAACTGTTCCCTTTCCGGAAGCTTTGATATCCACACTCGAGTCGATATTTGGCAGCTGAAATTGGTGCTTTCTCATAAGCGTTTCAAAAGTTAATACAATAGGTTCGCACGTTAGGCTACAAACCATGAAAACTACCTCACCTCATAGCTTTGAAGGACAATCGCGTTAGACGGTGTAACTCCAAATGTTTGACTGTCAGCTCCATTTGTTACCGTAACCGTCACATTTGAATCGGCCGAATATGCATGTTCTGCATAGCTACCCAATGCCTGCAGGGCGATTACAGTATCCTGAGTTGACGAGAAGCCTCCATACGCGTTTCGTTGACCCGTTAACCATCGCACAAGAGGAAGACCCTGAAATCAATGGCTCATATTTTATCACTTTCAGAACCATTACCATTACACTCTCAGACAGATTTGTTTTCAACCAACCTTTTCAGTGTCAGCGTCCAGCATATAGTTTAGCAGTACATAACCAGTTGTCTCGACATCTACAGGTCGTGGTTGGTAGAAGTACTGTGTTGTATCCTTCGATTTGTCTGCGCCTTTCGTTGAAGACCAGTGAATTGTGCCATCGGAAAAGGAAAAGCTTGCTTCAGATTACTCGAGATTACTGGGAAAATTCTGGTAATTTTTAATTTTTTGGTAAACCAGAAAGACAAAAAGTCGGGAAGAAAGCATCGTGCCGCTTAAGTTTGTGCCCATCGACAAAACATACTCGACTTCTGAAGGGCTCCATAAACTTAAAACTCGAGTGATGCGCGTGGGTCAAGGAAGGGGGAAAGACGGAGGCGGATTCTCTGGACATTGACAGGCACTCTTTTCAAATCAGTTCTCTACGGAATCCGTTGAAAAAATGCGGAAATTTTGTCGTCATCTCAGAGCCTGACGTAATTCCCCAGAGCCACAGGCGACGCAGCAGCGTCAAACGTACGAGCCTCAGTTTCTATCGCTTCTGGCGTCCTTATTTAGGGAAGGGGAGGGGGAGTGAGGAATTCTGCACTTTCACTAGTTCCTTGGGCTAGTTCCTGCTGACTAACCTGTATCCGTCTTATGAAGCTGCGAAATAGTGCAAGTTTCTCCACAAGAATTTTCAGGTCTAAAAGGTAGCCAGTACAAGTCTAGTTACGTACCATTCGGTGAACCCATCAACCCGAACCGCGCCTGGTTTCTTTAGTACTTTTGGATCCGTGATGGGCTCCGTACTTTCAAATTGAAGAATTAGGTTACTTTCGTTTAATGAAAGTAAAAGAGATATAAATGAACAATCAATCAGCGACGCGCTTAGATTTCAAAAGCAGTTACCTTTGTCAACATATCTGGCAGATTCTCGAGATGCTGCCAAGCTTTCCTTCTTCTTATCGCTATTGGCCATCGCAGGCGATACGCGCGTAAACCGCCAACGCATAATGAGTGTTCTGGCAGGTCATCGAGGTGCTTTTCCAGAAAAGCAATACCGTTGTCGTTGCGAATCTGTAATTATTCGATCACTATTACAGCGACCATGAACCATTCGCTCATAAAATCCCCAACTTACCCCGTTCTCAAGCAACGCTACCACGACATACGCCGTGAGACCGATACCACCCTCACTGGCTCCTCCCTGCATATCCTTGTGGTGCACTTCACCATGTTCTGCGAAAGCTCCAGTTTCCTGCAAAGATAAGGTGAACCAGCAAGTATTAGCAGAGCTGAGCTGGAGCAGCATTGAGATTGCTTTCAACTCCTACATTTGCTGCCCGTTCAGGAACGCTATGCTTTTTGTGAGTACGGTAGGGTCAACGAAAATGTAGGCGCGAGCCTGAGCGAATGATCGAACAACAAAAGCTGTCAACCATGTAGATCCAAACTTATCGCTTTCGCCAAAAGCCGAAAATGAGTTGTCGTTACGCCTGTAAGACATGAAAGTTTGCAATGACCGCTTCTATCCTGCAGAAAAGGGGCGAACCTTCCCCTTACCTGTAGGTGAGTTCTCGTTGATATCCGGCTTCCATAAATTTCACTGCTTTCGCTTCGATGGTAGGCTCAGCTCGGTTGGTCGCTTTCAGATAGCGTAACACAACAATATTTGGAACAAAGTTCAGCATGTTCTGTTCACCACATCCGTAAGGCATACGTACAAGTCCTTCGATGTTTGACAGCACGGGACCCATGATGTCTCCTGTACGGAAATGAGCAGATTTTTGCGAATCAAATCCTACATCTCAAACGTGCGATTGAATACCAGAGATTTTTATATCTCAGCCTGGTAACTCCTAGACTGTCAAGATTATAATGAAGGAGCCCACAGTTTGCTATGCAAGGACTTAGGATAAAAGCGAGCGCACAAAACTGATCATTAGAAGACTTGCACAAA